CACCAGTGACGGCAACTGAAGTCTCACCTCACTTCTCAGGAAAGCAGAAGATATCTTGTACAGCACATAGTGAATCAGTACCACATCACAAAGATTTAGAGAGTTTTGTTAGCTATTTTTTGTAAACAATGCATCATTTAATTCAATAATGTAAGTTAAAAGATCTAAATGTGCTATGAAAAACCTTTATTGATCCAGTCCTTCAAACATTACCTGTGCAATTGATAGTTGATTTACATTCAATTTTGGCTTCACATGACCGTCATAATGTCGACCTGCAGAAAAAGTGTGTTATTAGCCTACAAAGAAAGCATCCAATCATTTATAAAAGTATCATCTTGTACGCTTTTATGCAAACAATAATTATCCCTGCACGACACGTGCATTTCAGAATACCTGATTTTGTTTTGGAAAATGTTTGGCGTGATGCAAATATTGCCTTCAACACATGCATGTTCAAGTCTCGTACAACAAGGTTTCTCTCTTCTTTTCATTGGACATCTTGCCACCCTTTCTGGGAAGAAGCCCAGTGCCCAAAAAGGACAGGATTCAGCCTATACATGTATTTATTCATCCCAAACACTCTTAACAAAAGCTTCTTCTTTCTTCTGTGTCGATCTGCTTGAGGGTAGGGAGGCCCTTCAGAGGGATTTGAACAGACTGGATAGTTGGGCTGAGGCCAATGGCATGAGCTTTAATAAGGTCAAGTGCAGAGTGCTTCACTTGGGGTATAGAAACCCCAAGCATCGCTATAGGCTCGGGGAAGGGTGGCTGGAGAGCTGCCTGGCGGAGAAGGACCTGGGGGTGTTGGTTGACTACCGGCTTGATATGAGCCAGCAATGTGCACAGGTGGCCAAAAAGGCCAATGGGATACTGGCGTGTATCAAGAACAGTGTAACCAGCAGCAACAGGGAAGTGATCCTGCCCCTGTACTCGGCACTGGTGAGGCTGCACCTGGAATATTGTGTCCAGTTTCGGGCCCCTCTTTTTAAGAGAGATATTGAGCTCCTGGAGCAAGTCCAAAGAAGGGCGACTAAACTGGTCAAGGGGCTGGAAAATAAAACTTATGAGGAGCGGCTGAGGGAGTTGGGGCTGTTTAGCCTGGAGAAGAGGAGGCTGAGGGGAGACCTGATTACAGCCTACAAATACTTGAGAAGGGATGGTGGGGAGGTAGGGGAAGGGCTCTTTACATAAGTGTTGGGTGATAGAACAAGAGGAAATGGGTATAAGCTTAGTCAGGGGAGATTCAGGTTGGATGTTAGGAAGTATTTCTTCTCTGAAAGGGTTGTCAGCCACTGGAATAGGCTGCCCAGGGAGGTGGTTGAGGCCCCATCCCTGGATGTGTTTAAGAATAGGGTGGATGATCTACTTAGTGATATGGTTTAATGGGGATTAGGGACAGTTGGACTCGATGATCTCTAAGGTTTTTTCCAACCTAGAAATCTATGAAATCTATGAAAATCCATTGTCAAGGACACGTGTTGAATTGCATGGCACAAGTGTGTACCTATGGGTGGGAATTTCTTTCCCTGCACTGGCCAGAGTTGGGAAGCTGTGACAAATAACCTGACGGCCTGACTGCTTGCCAGGAAAGTGACATTTCACAGATGACAGATCATTTCATGGACACTCATAGCTTCATCCTTCAAACATTTAACTCTGTTTTCATTTGAGTGAAAAAAAAAAAAGTGAAAACTTCTTTCTTCCACATTCTCACTGTATCTCAGAGTCAGTCAGTAACTGGTTATTTCAACCAGACAAATCCTTTAAAGGATATTTTTAAAGTGGGATATGCTTGAACAAAACATTTGACAGAAGAGTCACTAATGCCAATAGAAGTAACATCTGGAATGAGGATCTTTTACAGTCACACTAAGAGAACCAGTATCCAGGCATTCAGCACACTGAAAGCCTTACCATTTCTTTGCAGAGAATCTTGATCTGAAAACGCATGTGAACTAGAAGAGAGGAGAAAAATATGTATTATACAGCATCTGGATTTAAACTCTGCAGCAAGTTTACTGGGGAGAACTCCTGTTCCTGCTTCATTCAGTAAAACATTCAAAACAAACTCAGACCCTTGGCTGGTTAATGTCACAGGAACAGGGCAAATTAATCCCAAAGCCAGTGTACCCAGGCTAAAAATCCCTTGTTTTCAGATGTCCCTCAGGCAGATCAGCCCCATTATGTCCTTACCATATCAACTAAATGTTTCATTACTCCTCTTATCCCTTTTCATGAGACATCAGTTCTGGCTTAGAGACCGAGCCAGTTCCAGCCCACAAGCAGGGGAATACAAAGATAGCACTGTACCATCCTCAGCCCCCAGTGAGGATCAGAAGCAACATGCTGAACTTCTCCAGGATGGTGCAAATGCACTGGGCTAGTATGCCTTAAGCCCAGATACACAGCCATGTAAAGACAGCTCCCGAATGGTTCCAAGCAACCCCAAATCTCATGGAGTCAGTTGCAAGCTAGGGTGCACGCGAAGCACATCTCAAGTGACTACTACTAGGCTTGTGAAATTTTCAGCCTTTGACTTTTCACTTGGGTGTAACTGAGGGATAAGTCTTCAGCTGGTGTAAGTATAATCTGCATTCCTGAACTAGAGAATCAAACCCAGTAGATTCACGTACATCACCAAAAGACCTATAAGATCAAAGCCCAAGAAACCAGGCTCTCCCTTAGGACCAGACTCCACTCCTTGAGTCACAGGAACTTCTTCCTGTCCACTCCACACCACGGCAGCTTCCTTGGGACCTGCAGCCCCCCACAGTGGATTGAGCGGCTGACCTGACGACACGTATCCAATTCTCTAGCCTGCTGTCAGCGTTCTCCAGTAGGAGAACACACCGGCCCTCCCACACTCACAGCTGAGTATCATCCCATATGCCCTGCCTTACTTCTGCCCTCCCAGTGCCTTCCAGGCCATAAGCGATGGTGAGGACAGACCTGCTGCACAGCCACTTGATGTGGAAATACACTTCCATCTTGTTTTCTTGCCTTGTTTCTTACCACCTTTCCAATCCAACACAGAAGCAAAATACTTTAAAAGATGTGCACTAAGAACAGCATATAAGGAACAGGAATAAAAGCAGTTTTCAGTATTTATGTGTAAATTGTACTGTAAGGTATTCAAATTGCAGAGCCAAGCCTTTGCCTCACTAGGGAGCCCATGAACTGCTGAGTGAACCCACTCCCTGATGGACTCCCCGGGTAGGGAGATCTGTGTTATGCCCCAGCATGTACTGCAGGAGTGATCCCAACCTAATTTCCATCGCGGCATCCTTACAGCAGAAAAATATGAGTCTGAGCAACATAACACAACCAAAGGAGAAATATGGGATGTCCTAGAGCCTGCCTTGCTTGCTGTCATGCTCATGCAGCTCTGGCAGTCAGGGAGTTTGATCACAGAGAACCTGGCTTGTCTGAAATCCATGGCAATGCTAACAGCTTCAGCAAAGCCTAGATCTCACACACAATGTCTTGTTTACACTCGTGGTTCAGGAGGGCAGCAGGCTCTTTCTTCTGATCAGCGTCTCTCCAGTAAGAATGTATTTTCGCAGCCATACTCTCTGCTGCCACAAATAGATCAGCTGTGTCCCCTTGCAAACTCCTCAAACCCAGAAGGCAAAACAGACAAAAGTGAAGCGGAGTCTGTATCACAGCTTGTCACTTTGCTGCCAAACACCAGGACTGATGAGCAGCTTTGCTCCAGACCATCGGGCAGGCTGCTCGGTCCCTTCAGCAACCAGGCCGATAAAGCAGGAGATAGTCTACAGAGAAAACATAACACAGCACAAAAAGACAGCGAGGCTTCGCAGCACTGACTGTGATCTGGCTGAAAGAACCTTAAAAAGACCTTACTTTCAAAAAAGTTCAGTGTAGATAACACTGTTTAAAATCAATCTAGCAGATTTAATTACATATAGTGAGATCCAACTTTCTCCTCAGTTGCAGCTGTTAAATCCCTGTGACTTCAAGGAGGTTGTGCATTTTCAGAGTGGGTCCCACTTTCTCCTGCTCCCCTCCAGGTGCCAGGGTCTGTGCTGGACTAAGGTCTCCAAGCTGCTCGAAGGTCTCACGCCAACAGCAAGCAGCCTTCAGAGATAGACGGAAATAATCCTGATTTTGACAGACAGGTAATGAAAGACAACGCTAGCATGGAATAAACCTTGTTTTCTTGCTCAGGCAAAACTCTCTTAGGTTGTTTAACAATTTGGAACATGGGTTTTGTGATTTGATGCAGCATTCTTTTTCTTTTCCTTCCTGACAGATTACGTCTTCAGGCTGGAAAGGGCAATTCTGAGGCATTTTTTCACAATATAGCTACAAAAACGACCCACATCAAAAGGAAATTAATGTAAATTATTTAGCTATACTAACATTAGCTATATTTAGTTGTACCTACATAGATTTCACAGAATTACAGAATGTTAGGGATTGGAAGGGGACCTCGAAGGATCATCTAGTCCAATACCCCTGCTGGAGCAGGACCACCTAAATCAGATCACACAAGAATGCGTCCAGGCGGGTTTTGAACATCTCCAGAGAAGGAGACTCCACAACCTCCCTGGGCAGCCTGTTCCAGCGTTCTGTTACCCTTATTGGGAAGAAGTTCTT